GTCAGGAATGAAAATCGATTATTGCGAAGGGCTAATATCAGGCTCTTCCTCCTGTCTCCCAAGTTAATTCCCACATACCATTACATGCCCCTTTACTTGCTACTGGGGTCTGCTTTTATCAGAAATAGACTTTATTATAGCTGTATTCCATGGATTTTCTATACCGCATTAGTTGGCTTTTCAAGAAAGGGAACATTCATTTGGAGATGAGAAAACAATACACAATAAACAAATGCACAATGAGATCTGATTTGGGGCTAATATTTAAAGTTTTGGCTGACCTGCTCACCAATTTCATGTAAGTACTTCAGCAATTATGTTTTCTAGCCCACCATCTTTAGACGTCCCTATCAATTCACTCTAGGAACAGAGCTCACAATACCTTAAAATGCAATGAATATTTTCCTCAAACAGTTTAATTTGCTTATTGTGTAAACAGCTTTCTTTTTAAAGCTGCTTTGTAAATACCTAATAGAATTCTGCATGCAAAACCACAGAGAAAGTACATATGATAGGAAATGAATTCCATTTCTGTTACTGAGTATTTTATAGAAATTCTGTTAATTCTGGGAAAGAGCAAAACAATAACCCATTTGGGCTCCCTGGGTGAAGGGGGATATCAGTCCTTGCATTTTAAACTTCCAAGAGGAGGCCTGTTTTGAAATGATTTGCTTCTCAAGATTCTTTTAATGTTGGAGTAAACAATACAAAGGCTTTAAGCTGTGCTAATGTTCAACAGTACAACTGTTCCTGTGTTTCTTTCCACATAAAATTAATAAAAGTCCAGTAGTAAGTTTCTTCCTTACATTTTTTCTAAATTTACTTAATGTGAAGGCTTTACCTGCTCTTTAAGGCAATAACGAGACCTTCAATCATGTAAAAGCTGTTTGCTGCATTTGCAGAATGTGGTGGAGCTGGAGGGAGGTAAAAGGACAACATAGAAACTAGCCATGGAGCAGAGAGCAAAGAATATCTTCTGCTACATGAAGTGAGCAAAACAAAAATGTGTAATGTTGGCTTGTAGGATTAAATGGCCCAATTTCACTGTTATTTTATGCCATAATATAATTATAACTAAGGAGACATAAAAGCTACATTCAGATATCCCTACAACCTGTTTGTAATTATTAGGACATACTTTGGGCTCATACATTTTTCCTTCCCACATGAGAGATGGAGATTCAAAGCTTCTAGTCATAGTTGGTTCCAAACCAGAGCTCAGCCTAAGTGACCTTTGGAAATTGTCCATCAAATTGAGCAGGCACATGGGATGTAACGTGGGAGATTGCTATGAATTTCTTTAAGGGGAGGAACTATTCTCTAACAATTTTTCAAGGGCAGGATTCCCAAACAGTGGTAATAGTAGTATGGCTTAAAAAGAAAAGAAGAGCCTAATGAGAGGTGGTCTAGCCCTAAGGTATCTCTGGGGATTTAACTGAAACTTATGAAGCCAAGGAGGCTGCAGACTGCTGGACAGAGGATTCTTCAATAAAAAAAACAGGACACTTCTTGGCCATCTTGTAATTAAATAAATGTAGAATGTCATCTCCCAAGCAAATTCTCTTCCACCAAATTGAACTAGTAGGAAAAAATGCAGACTATTTCTATCTGGCACTATACATTTTCCTTGGTTGTTTAAGTGGAAACCAATTTATATTAATAAAAGTTCCCAAATCAGAATATCAAACCATGGTTTGATCCAGTAGTTTAGTCCAATTCCTTATCCCTACCTGTTTGCCCATATTCATTCCAGGATCACTTAGAAACTTCTACTACTACTGCTGTAAAATCCAGGTAGCAGAAGTGAAAAGCAAAGATGTTTTCTCCCCTCCTTAACATAAAAATGCTTTATGTTCACCTTCTAAAGCTTTATGCTGTTATCAGATTTATTTATTCCATTTGCATCAAAAAGGGGAGGATGAGGAGACCTGAAGCTCACTGTGGCATATTATCACCATTGTTTGATGCTTGTGGCGATACTTGAGTGCATCCATTTTATCCTCCCTGTCAGGAATGAAAATCCATAGTTGTTTCATCCAATTTAAATTCCCCTGAGCAGAATCAGGTATGTGCTAGCGAATGAGATCAGAGGATGCAATGTGTTTCAAGACTGAATTAGAAGCAACTGCCAAAGGGTAGGTTGGAGCCAAACCATCAGAGCCGGAGGGATCAAGGCAGGAACAAAAAGTATGGAATGTTCTAATGTAATGTTACATTGTCACATGGACAGTCCCACATTCTTTATTTTCTATCAAAACATCTGCTGTATGTTTGATTAGGCATGTGGACAGAAGATCACACAGTGGAGCCAGGCCAAGCATGTACATAAGACTCATGACCAATGGCTACTTTTGACCTCTGATGTCTTACATCAACAGTGGAGAATCTGAGGCTTTCTAGTTGTTGATAATCTACAGCTCCCAGCATTGTTTACAAATGGGCATGCTCATTAGGGATGCTGGGACTTGTAATTCAGCAACAACTGGACGAGCGCAGGTCACCCACCTCTGTCTTCAATGGTTATGCCTAATACACAAAAGATAGACTTACCTTCCACTACACCGCACAGTACTCTTTTCCTCTTACAGAAGCTAAGTCTTTCTACTTTACAATAGTATCCATCTGTAAGTCTTAGAACTTAGAAGCTAGAGGATTAACGATCTAGGATTTTTACCACAGAAACCATTTTATTTGATTTTATATTGATATTTTATTACATGTTATCATCCTGAAGTGAAATCATTCATCACCCGATCAAACTCACCTCTTTATAGCCAAAAATTATACGGCCATCATTGAGAAGAGTTGCCTGAAAAGTGAAACTGCCCAGATTGTAGTTATCTTGTAGATGTACGTGATCCCATTGAACAACTAGTGCAGTGCCTGTCAAGTTGGGAAAAAGAGACTAAAATACTGCAGGAAAGTATATGATTGCAATTGAATAGATTAATTCAACTTTCACCAGCTTGGTACCCTACAGAGTTGCCTAGACTTCCAGAATCTATTGTCAACATAGCCATAGCATATCAAAGGCACCAGGCTTGAGAAGACTGTCATCATATTACTACAAGTCAACTGGTAATTATCTTCTAAAACAGACATTATACAGGATTATATTATACAGGTTATACCCTCTTATGCAACAGTAAACAGAATGAAGAGATATACAGTTTGGGGAATATTAGTTGATAAGAAAAAGAATGCAACATTTTCTAAACAATTTATGAAGAAATCAATTCCCAGTGACCTTCTAGAAGTACTGGAAATAACATTTTCTGTTTAACAAAAGGTACTATGCAGGTTCAGGGCACTGTCAACTGAATGACTAATGTGCAAAAGAGCCACAGCACTAACAACTATTGTACACATTCATTACACTTCTCTGAAAATAAACACAAATGACAAGTAATATGTAATTCAATATGGTATGAAACAACTTTGTCCTAATTAGATTTGTATATCACCTTTCCTTTAGGAGTTCAAGGCTCACTCTAATATACTGTACTGTATATATACTTCATAGCTCCCAAGGATCTATAGAAGCTTCTTATTTCTTGCAGAGACCAGACAACTCCATTGCAAAAGAGTCTGAAAGCTCTGATTCTCCAGAAATGTTTATTGCAAAGCATATTGTAAACCTATAGGCTCCATGCATCTACTAGGGCTAATAGTGACTACAAACCTATCCACTATGCATTTGTCAAGTTCCTTTGAAAGCAATTCAGGGTAATTATTATTTCTGCATCTGTTAGTATTAAATTCCATAAATGCTATGGCAACTAAAATTGTAGTGTTTAGTCATGAAAACCTACCTCAAATGAATAAATATTATACAGTTGGGATTAGAAACACCAACTACATGGAACTATCTGACTAACAATCTGCTGGCCTTACAAATGGTAAGATACCAAGGAATCCTCTGTTGTTGAAGAATAATTGCCATTTTGACTCATGCTTTCCTACAAGTGCCCAGCTTGGTGGCAGCAGGCAGCTGATCTTGAAAAACAAACAAGGTTGTACCTGGCTAATATCTGGAGGAGAGACTATCAGGAAACCCCAGGTTGGTTGGCTGGGCTAGAAAATCACCTTCTTCCCTCCCTCTAATGAACTCTGTATAGTTCCAGCTACAAAATTGGATTTTGTTTTTGCACCTTACAATTTTCTGTCAGATACTTGACCTTTGAGAGCTGTAGATAAAGGGAGGGCTATTCAAAAATTATATAGTACTGACACTTCAATTATCTTTAAGAGGTTTATTAACCTCAGGCATGCTCCCTGTCTCTATAAAATATGACACAAAGAAAAAAATATGTTCTTATTTCATTAGTGGATATGTAGATAGTACCAAAGTAGTGGATATGTAGATAGTACCAAAGGAAAAACCTATGGATTTGCTTTTTTTAACAATGTTAACAGAATTGTTATATAATAGCTAAGACTTTTATAGCTTTGATGGTTTATAATAATGGACAATATATGCCAAGAGACTCTACGAGCAAAGTTTTAACTAAACTAAACTCTTATATGCAGAGGAATAGCTAATTAAATGTATTACATTTCTAAGAGCTACAGTGGGGCAAAAAAGTATTTAGTCAGCCACCAATTGTGCAAGTTCTCCCACTTAGATATTGACCAAATACTTATTTTCCACCATGATTTGCAAATAAATTCTTTAAAAATCAGACAATGATATTGACCAAATACTTATTTTCCACCATGATTTGCAAATAAATTCTTTAAAAATCAGACAATGATATTGACCAAATACTTATTTTCCACCATGATTTGCAAATAAATTCTTTAAAAATCAGACAATGATATTGACCAAATACTTATTTTCCACCATGATTTGCAAATAAATTCTTTAAAAATCAGACAATGATATTGACCAAATACTTATTTTCCACCATGATTTGCAAATAAATTCTTTAAAAATCAGACAATGATATTGACCAAATACTTATTTTCCACCATGATTTGCAAATAAATTCTTTAAAAATCAGACAATGATATTGACCAAATACTTATTTTCCACCATGATTTGCAAATAAATTCTTTAAAAATCAGACAATGATATTGACCAAATACTTATTTTCCACCATGATTTGCAAATAAATTCTTTAAAAATCAGACAATGATATTGACCAAATACTTATTTTCCACCATGATTTGCAAATAAATTCTTTAAAAATCAGACAATGATATTGACCAAATACTTATTTTCCACCATGATTTGCAAATAAATTCTTTAAAAATCAGACAATGATATTGACCAAATACTTATTTTCCACCATGATTTGCAAATAAATTCTTTAAAAATCAGACAATTACAAGACCACTGATAATCTCCCTCGATCTGGGGCTCCATGCAAGATCTCACCCCGTGGGGTTAAGTGGGAGAACTTGCACAATTGGTGGCTGACTAAATACTTTTTTGCCCCACTGTAAATGTTACGATCAATATATATTTTTAATGCATTTTACTGTTTTTAGCCTTGTCGTACACTGTCCAGAGTTGTCTGTGGTGACATGGGTGGCTATATAAAATCAATCAATCAATCAATCAGTCAATCCCAATGTGTAATTTCCTACAAAGGAAAACAAACAGCATCTAAAGTAAAAGTAATCTGAACAAAAATATTCATACCTACCATTATCAAAATACCTTACAGTTGAGTTTCTTGATACACTGGGGTCAAAATTGGCCATCAAGGGTGCAATATACTGTGTTGCTGTTAACATCTGATGCACAACTTCTCCTGTGTAGATAAACCCTGTAAAAAGGGAACAAACAGCAAAATCACATCAGTTGTCACTGAAAAGTTAAGACACGCCAGACTTAATTAGATGCTGCCAGAGTGTCAAAGAGCTTCACAAGGAAAATTATTAGCTCTGGCCTTTATGAATGAATCATAGAATTGCTAAAAAACACCAGGAGTGGGGTGGGGAAAAGAAAGAATATAAAAGCCAACAGAAGGATAAATCTTGATAGGGAAAAAAATCAACTTCAAATATTAGCAAAGTATTTTAGGGGAGGGTTTGTGAACATTAACCACTTTGGAAAGATGGGAAAAATATAAAGACTGCTGAGACTATTACACAGAATGGACAATTCACAAGTTTGATTGCCATTTACCATGTGAAAACAACCATGAATATTGTGGCACATTAAAGAGTAACATATAGCACAACCTTTTGCGAACTAAAGTATACTTTATTATACAAATAGGCTATTACACTGAATTGACACCTATCACATACATTATTATGTATGTGTGTACTGCACAAGGATTTAGAATAGTGAAACTGTAGGAAAATGAAGTGCAATGAAGTACAGACTGGGATAATTACATTAAAGCAAAAATCATAATTTCGGTGACTATTCACAAACAGTATAGAAGATATACTATGTAGGCTTTCCCCTATAGGTTTTCACATTGTATTCCTATTTTTAATGTTGTTTGTTATACTTCTATTTTAAAAACTTTTTAAAAATAAGGCATTATGTTTATACTATATTTTAAGTGATTGTATCCTACCCAGAGAGTTCCCACTATTGGACAGTCTAAAATCTCACTCACTCATTCATTCACTCACTCTCCCTCACACATTTAAGTGGAGTTACAAGCCAGTTAGAAACACCAGACTGCAGAAGGCCAATTCTATACTGCAAGTTTCCCAGTCTGGTGCTCTGCAAACCCTGTTATTTTGATTTGTGTCAGATTATATCTATTTGCAGTTTCTTTCTAAAGCAGCCACATTCAAATGGGTGCCTTCCAGATGTGTCAGACCCATATTATTCCCAAATGATGCAACCTATAGGCAATGGTGCAAACTGTATCCACCAGGCAACAGGAGTACTGTAATTTCATCTTTAAATTCTATTCCTTAGTAAATATCACATGTATGACTTTAACCTTTTTGTTGAAGAGAGAAAAATAATTACAAGCCCGTCATTGTTTCTGGGATCCAATGACAACTCCAATCAATAAAATTTGGAAAGCAACACAACACATATTTATTTAATCAATTTGTATGTCACCTCAATCACAAAAGCAACTTGAGAATTTTACTTGATGTATTGAATATTTTATCATTTCCGCTTACACACTGAATCAACCACAAATGTCAGCTAAGCAGATTCTTGAATAGATTTCCACAGACATTTGGCAAAAACTAGTTTATACTGTCTAAGGTCCAGTTTTCCAATAGTTGTTCTTGCTCTCGGTTGATTCAACAGGAGCCTGTGAAAGTGTTCCAAACCTAGAGTTTCCTAAACTATTTAATCTTCTTTTTGTGAAAGGACCTTGAAGCTCCTAGAAAAGATCTACAGCAATCTTCTTTATCCTGGTTCTCTTCAGATGTGCTGGAACTCAATTCTCACAATCCCTAGCAAGCCCATGCTAGCTGTGAATCATGGGAGTTGAGATCCAACAATTCTGAAGAGAACCAGATTGGAGAAAGCTGATCTACAGCTCGAAAAATATGACCTTGTGTTCTAAGTTGCTGGAGTCAATTAGTGTAATTGAAAAGTTAGTAAAAGGGGATTAAAAACTGCAGTATAGTTTTATAGAATAAGACTGGGAAATTTAAAGACATAATAATGATTTGCCCAGCTGCTGATATAAGTGCTTTTCTTACAAATGTCCTATGAATTAAATGTATGTCCCATATTATTCAGTGTACCTAGTGATACAGCTGGTGGCTTGTACTCAAATAACATACTGTTTTGCTAATAGCACTTGATAGTACTGTTTGTCAAAAGGCATCTACCCTGAAGATTGAAAAGCTACTTGTGATATGGCATGAATGTCATACACATATTTGAGAAATCCCACTGGATGTATTCAAGGTGTCAGGGATTCCCAAAGTAATGTTTTGAATTTTGATCAATTTTCTCCTCGTCCAGTTTTGGATGCCATCTCTTCTTAATACAGTTTTTCCTTCTTTATATCTATATACATTCAGTGGAGTCCAGTCCTCAATAAATTCAGGGAAGGGAGATAATCCATGGGTTGCGCACATCCTTTGTCCCTCAGCTTTCTCACAGCCATTACAGACCCTTAGAATTACATCTTATGTCATAATAAATACGTTAGGCTTTGAAGTGTAACAAGACTCTTTCTGGGTTCTTTCCCCCAGCCAACTTTGTACCTTGAAGCATAAGGTCCATTTGACTTACTCCAAGCTTTATAGATTCCTGAGCACAGGGTGAAGAAACCTGAGTAGGGGAGGATCTACTTTGTATTATTTTACTAGTAGTCTACAGTCCAACTACATAAGCCAAGCATAAAATAATGTACAATATATTATATTAGGCATACACTTAAAATAAAGGAATAGGTGATTCTAACAGGGGAGTGGGCATCAAAACGGCAGATGTCCTTCAATGTAAGCAGATTGGTGCCAAAAATCCTAACTACTCATACAAACTAATGGGATCAGAGCTAGCATGACTGATGACTAAAGAGATTTTGGAGTAATGATAAACAGTTTAGTGAAGATATTGACACAGTGTACATCTGCTGTGAAAAGGATCAACAGCATGTTAGGGATAATAAAAACGGTATTGAAAATAGAGATGCCAATATCATAATGCCCTTATATAAATCAGTGGCATGACCGCATGTAGAATGTTGTGTCCAGTGCTGGTTGCTGCACCTCAAAAATAATGTGGAGGAACTAGAGAAGGTCCAGAAGAAGCCAACTAAAAAGATCAAGTGGCTGGAGCAGGAAAGAGGATAGGTCGTGACACTAGGGGCTTTTTAGACTAGAAAGAAGGCAAATGAGAAGGAATGGGATTGAAGCGTACAAAATTATGCATGATGTGGACAAGGGCCAGCAGCATTTTCAACTTCGGAGACTCCTGAGATACTAGAACAATTTGTTAAATCCTTCAAAACTAAAAAACCTACTATTATTCTTTATAGATATTATTTGTTGTTAATAAATGAATTTGATAGGTAGATGCAAAGAAATGAGTGGAATAAAGAATTAGAGGTTCCTATATTGTCTAGACCAGTGTTTCTCAACCTTGGCGACTTTAAGATGGGTGGACTTCAACTCCCAGAATTCCCCA